CCTCCTTGGTCATTGTCCAACTCTCTGATGCATAACAAGTGATTGCAAAGACCATGGCCTGTATCAGACGCACCTTAGTCTCCAGAGAGACAATTTGGCTTTATTATCTTCCTTCTATATTTCCTCGCTCACTTGCGTATGTAATTATAAGAGTCTAGCCAATGCCTCATAAAAAAAGTTCACCTAGAATTTTGTATGTTTCTACGACTACCTTTGTTCTTTTCAAGGTGAATCAGTCCTCTCTGTTCACTTGCTTTCTGTTGAGACACTGACTCTTTCTCCAACCCATCCCATCCCATTTAATTGCTCCCCTTTTCATGGTGCTTTTTGTTTACTAGATCTCTTTATTGTAATAGGGAGGTCATGGTCATGATCATTTGTGTTTGCCTTTCAGATGTCTGCTATTGAAAACATGGCGGAGAAGTTGGAGAGCTTCAGTGCCCTGAAACCTGAAGCGAGTGAGCTGCTTCCATCGGTTCCCTCCATGTTCAACTTCAGGGCACCTCCCAACGCCCTGCCAGAGAATCTCCTGCGCAAGGGGAAAGAGCGTTACACCTGCAGGTAACTACCACGTTCATTAAGCAACGGCCTGCTGGAAATCTCCCCTGGGATTTCAAAGGCCCTGGTGTTTGCTTTGGAAACTATTCTTGATTGGATGATTAATAGCAACTGTAATTGATCTCAAGTACTTCAAAGCGCTTTTATATAGTGAAATGTAAAAAAAATAGTGGTTTTAAAAAGATTATTATTAAATGAGAATTCTAGCACAGGCCATTCGGTTTTGAGAAATGAAGTTGGAAACTGTCCAAACATGATCTATTTGTCTCTGTTCCCTATCACTTAGATATTTAGGAATTTTCTTTCACAGTTAATTATTTTTATCCAGAGATAGAGTACTACTGTCTTTAATCATTCCTGTATTAATCGCCCTAAACATGAAGAATAAGGTCAGTAAGTAAAGGCTGAATAAAGGTCGTAGGTAAAGGAAGCTAAATAATAAATATCATGTTATTTGTCATGAGTTTTGTAAACTTGATTCTTGTTTGTTTGTTTGTGTTCTTTTTATTTCTCTTTGGTTTTGCTTCCTTTTTTCCCCACAAATTGTGATTACAACTTCTGAATTGTCTTCCGAAATCTCGGGCATCTAACACAGGCATATCAATTTATCTGCTCTTTGGAAAACATGTCACTTTCTTCCTAGAAAAGCTTTTATGGGAACATACCTTGATGGATGAGGTCTCAGAATCTTGTCCAATCTGATCCCACTCAATGCACAGGGCTGTCACCGTGGCTGGCGTATAAAATGAGTTGAAACATTTGAAATCTGTTTACATCAACCCAGAATCACAAGCTCTGTCACTTTTTTATCCCCTTGTCTGGTTTGGTTTTTAGAATGTAAAGATACAGCGTTAATAAAAGGGTGTGTGGGTCATCAGACTAAAGTCTGTTTTCATAAATTGCTTGCTTATGTGTGAATAAATTCAGTGAGAATCTGGCAAGACAGGCTTTATTTGTAGAGTTATTTATATCCATAGAATGGCTTTGTTACAAATTTTAAATACCAAAGACATGTGAGTCCCATGCAAGATTAATTAAATCAGGAATACGCATCTGGCTTCCTCTTCGGCTCAAGAGAAATAAAGTCAACTCTGCTGACTTTTTGCTTATAAACTTCTTTTCATAACAGATACTGTGGCAAGATTTTCCCGAGATCTGCAAACTTAACCCGGCACTTGAGAACCCACACAGGAGAGCAGCCTTACAGGTTTGACAATTTTTGTTCAAATTATCTTGATAGTCAGTGCTGTCGTTCAAAAGACAGTGCTCGTGGTCATATATTAATGCATGTCTTTTTAAAGTTTGGCCCAAGGAAGATTTGACAAAAGGGAAAATCCATTGATTAAGGTTTAGGATGGAAACATTTGAGGCTCTTAATTTTTTCTAGTCACTGTTTCTTTTTACACCTAGCTTTATAATATTAAAGTAAAAATTCTGAGCAATGTTTTTGTAATCTCTTGCTGGGTGCCCTTGTTAAAGAGAGCAATGAAGCCAGAATGATCTAGATGTTTAACATAATCATTTGTCTGCTTCATTAAAACATGTTCCTGCTTTTTCTGAGGGTCTTCTTCCCTTTGTCTATAAAAATTTAGGACAACTGTGTCCTCTCATTCAGTTATCAGAGTATTTGGCTTTGAACTGGGTCTCTACCACCTTCTAGCTACACAACCACAGTCCTATTTGTAACTTCCTTACATTAAGCTGTGCCTTCATGTGTACCGTGCAAATAATGTCAGGATCTTGTGAAGATTCAATAGTTAATCTATATGTAGTCTTTATCACAATTGTGCAGTACAAAGTGTTTAAAATGTTAGTCACTTTAAAAAATAATTCTATTTCAGTGCTTGCTATTTTCATAACTAATGCTCTTTTAACTGACAATCACCGTAACACTGTTGCCTCTCTTTTCTAAACTTTAAATGTCTGAGAGGCAACAGTAACTCTCACAGAGCTTTGTTTTCCAAGTAAAGTTAACTCAGTGTTCACAGATCCTAGTAGCAGGTTTAATGAGCATAGTGGGCAAAGGTAGAAAATGTAGAACTATAGATGGAATAGTTACAGAAAGGAGGAGAAAGCCTACCAACCATTTCCCAAAGTACATCTGAGTCTGTTCTATTTAAAAAAAAATAAAATCAAGATTAGCTGTAGAACATGTGGAATACCGGTCTAATTCCAATGTCTATGTTATTGTTTTAGTAAAGAGTGGAATTATGAGGGAGGGACAGGATTGAACATTGCATTTTACAGGGTTATTATATGTCACAGACAACTCAAAACTCCCTAACAACAATTAGCATGACTGCTATTAATCCTGAGTGACAGTGAATCCTACTTTGAAATTCTTATACATTGAATATGTAGAATATTGTTTTTGCCTGCATGTTCACTTACTTTGTTAACATAAGTCAATTAAGTATCAGTTTCCAGAGACCTTTTGCCATGCAACAATAAGAAAATGGACAATGCCAAGACCCAGATATTTATAGATAATTGCAATTTTTGGAGAAAAGTGAAGAAACTTAAACTCAAAAAAATTATTCTCTTAAATTTTTCCTTTGCTTCCATGTTTTATTAGTTACTAACCTTAAGTGGTATTTTTCCTTTTGAGTGATAAGATGCAATTAATGTCATGAGACTCAGAAAGATGTGTGTTTGTGGGGGGGGGGGGGGGGGGTAGTGAAGAGTGTTAGGTGACTCATGTTTTAGAAAATTCTACTTCCTCGCAATTCTGCTAAAGCATTTTAAGAAAATACTTTGAAGCACATGCCTTTTATGGCTAAGAGTCTTAGTATATGATTATGGTATCATTCTTGTTTAACTTTCCTATGGACCTGGACTCACTTGTTTTATTCTGCTTCATAATTGAGGCTAATATGTATGTATGTATGTATGTATGTATGTATGTATGCATATTTTTTTTTTAAAAGCAAGAACCAGAGTTTCAGTAAAGCTTAAGATATTAGACCATTATTTGCTGGGAAAATTTATTTTGAAACAAAAAATCCTCAAGCCCAGAGATGCCAACTGACTTCTCTGAGGTCTGATGTGAAGAAATTCAGAATAAAAAACTCAGACCCGGAGCTTTGCTTCAGATTCCCTCGCTCACCGCGTGATCTCAAAGCTGAGCCTTGACAACCTGTGGATCTCCAAGAGGAGCTGTGCTCTGATGGGTTTTCAGGGGTTGACTTTTCAGAAGTAAATTGCCAGGCATTCCCCCCTAGGAAGCACGAATTACACTCGAACCCCTAACTTTTCTGTTAGGAGATGAATACGTAATGGTTTTACAGCAGGGGCTTCCTCCCCAAAGACGAACAAGGCTTAAGAGAATACTGCTCCTGATTCCAACATTGTGTGTTCACTTTAAGCATTTCTGAAACTAAGGTTCAAATTTGGTTTGTCTCTCAATGACTCGCTAATATGTTGTTTTTAGAATGGATGAATATGTTCTTTTTAGAGCATTCAAAATTTTATCCACACCATTAGCAGAAAAAACAAGAAATAATAGCTAATTTTTGGTTTAAATGTCCTTAATTGCCAATATTACAATATACTACAATATTGGCAAAGCCCCCTTTGTATATAAGCAGAAATTTGGAAGCATATCACAGACATAATACCTCATTTTATTTGTAGAAGAAATTATTTAAGTGAAACTTTGTGTAATATAGTTGATCTGATATATTGTATGAAAATTTTTTGTAAACATTTTTCTAAAGTTTCTGTTGGAAATGACCAACAGCAAAAGATTTTTCTGTTGCATTAAGTGCAGTACAGTGGCGCGAATTATGCAGCAGGGAATCCTGGTCCTGTCTTTCACAGGGAGTCACGCTGCAGACTTCCAGAGATGATGCCTATCTTGTTATTTGATAAGGTTATTGCCAAGAAGGGAATGGTACATCTGGGTTGTTGGGGGTTTGGGGGAGAGGTTTTTTTTTCCCCAAAGCAAAGTATAAAATATTACAACTACTATTAAAGTGGGATTTCACTCAGTTGAAGAATAATCCCACACAGTTTTCTTGAAGAAAGAAAAAAAAAGTAAGTCATTCTTCTAGTTAGTTTGTTGAAACTATGCCCAAAACCCTTGTTCGACAGATTTCTTTTCCCTGCTAGACCAGCTGGGCTCTGGGTTCACCCAAGGAGCACCTACAGCCGTAAGCACTCTGAGTGGAGAGGACTGATTTCAATTCATACTTTCTAGTCTCGGAATCTGAACTCAGAAGTGGTAGGAGAAAGACCCTTCACACATGGAAAACTCTAGATCCATGCCTAGTCTCAGAATCTGAACTCAGAAAGATGGGGTAAATTATGTATACTGCATTGAAACAGATGAGAGGGAGAACTGTTTAAAAACGGATGTATGATTAGGTATTATTGTCATGACAGGAGTCCAGAATAAAGGCTGCATAGTGGAAGTGGACTTGGGAGGGATTGTATATCAGTGAAAGAATTTCTTCTTTTACTTTTCAAAGAGCAGAATGAACTGGAGAGGAGAGGTGGGCAGGGAGAAAAGTGCAACAATGAATAAATGAATGGAAATCCAAAATTTCTAAATTTTCATTAAAATTAATAGTAATAATAAAAATGGTAGGGGAAAGACCCTTCACACATGGACAAATGAGTTAAGATTTTCTGGCAGCTGAACTAGAAATAGTCACTTAGAATTCATTTGAACATATTCGATTTGTTCTCCAAGCAAAACACACACACGCACGCGCGCGCGCACACACACACACACACACACACACACACACACACGCACGCCACACACAGTGATACAATCTTATTTTTTAAATGCCAGCAGAGAATATCCCATCAATTACCCCAAAAGGCACTTTTCCTCACTGATAAGAACTGGAGGGAGGCTTACATTTTTATTTTATGACTAAAGGAAAACTTTGAAGTAATTTATTATTTTCCATTACACAGAAGGCAGAAACAATTAGTCAACAAATAATAAGTGCTTTCCTGAAAAACCAACTTGATTCAGATCTACTTCAGACTTTTTAAGAAAAATTACAGTGGAAAATTGGGGAGAATATGGAGGGAGGAGATTAATGAAATCTTTGCTTTCATTTCAAAAGAAGAAGTCAGTGGCAAGATTACTAGCTTTATAACAGTTTAAAGATTAATAGAGTAAAAATGTTCATAATCAGTTGATGAAAATCTGCTTTTGGTATAAAACTAAACTGTATACATTACCTTGGTTTTAAAAGTTTGAATGATCAGTTACTCTTTTGGAGAAGATAATGGAATTTCCTCTAAAATTATCTCTCATCAAAGTATATTTACTACAAAAATGAATTAAAACACTTTGACTTTGAACTAAAAGTCAACTCATTATTTGAGAAATATAGAAATATTTTTCCTGTTTGTTGATAGTTTTATTGCCTCCTAAGTAAAAGAGAAAGCAATGCTGCTAGTTCTTAATGTCTTTAAAATAACAGGATTGATTAGCCAATTTAGGAACAATCAAATCATCAATACTGTTTTATGTTTTTCAGAAAGTTATCCAAGTCTTTGAAGCAAAGGCTATTGAAATTGAAATCTCGGTGGTGTGACTAGAACGTGTGTGCCTTTTCTCGATGTGGGTTGTTTTGTGGATGCTGACGTGTGATACCTGGTTTGCTAGTCCTAAGACAGTCCTTTTGACTTACTAGAATATGCCTTCTCTGTTTATTTTCCAGATGCAAATACTGCGACAGGTCATTTAGCATATCGTCTAACTTACAGCGGCATGTTCGAAACATTCACAATAAGGAGAAGCCTTTTAAGTGCCACTTATGTGATAGGTGTTTTGGACAACAAACCAACCTAGACAGACATCTAAAGAAACATGAGAACGGGAACATGTCTGGTAGGTATCAGTTGTGTAAGGAGAAGGTGACTTATTTTTGTGTGTTTTAAAAGGTCGTTGAATTCTCTCTTTTTAATTGGCTACCACAGTTAAGAGTCTCGTGAAAATTTGCACAAAGATTCTCTGACTAAATTAGCGTAACTAAATCAGAGGAACTTGGTGCAAATCATTGGTTAATGTAAATACGCAACTCACTGATTTGATTTTTTTTTTAACAAAAGGGTCCTTATTTTAAGTGAGCTCTGGTGGCCTAGTGGCAAGAAGCTGCAACTGCAATCCCAGAGGTGTGTGGATTGAATCCACCAAATGCTCTGCTGGAGAAGGAGGAGATATCTCCTCCTGTACCAGTCAGATCTGATTTGACGGTACACACACACAAAATGATAAAATAAAACAAAAATTTCCTTATTTGTCTTAGTTGGGAAATCTCAAGCAAACTTAGAGGAGACTTAGTAAGAATCCCAGTACCTTAAATGGCCGAGGAATAATTTTTTTCCTTCTTAGTGAAGAATCCGTGCATGGCAGAATTTCCTGAATGGCATCCCAGAAGACCACTGTCAGTAGAAACCATGATGGCTTTTGCAAAAGGCCCGCTGTTCAAATAACCTCCCCAGCACACCTTTCCTCCCCCCCTTTTTAAAAAAAATTAAGATGAGGGACAGAAGATGCTTGCTATGATTAGAACAACCTATGGCAGATGGTAGTGATGTGTGGTTGGGGGTTACAGACAGATTTTGAAACCGTCAGACTCATCGCTGTCAAGTCAGAACCAATTCATAGTTGATCTGCCATTGGACTTTTGAGGCTGTAATTGAATGAGAGGCGATGCTGGGGTCTCCTCTACTAACAGGTAATCACAACTCCCTATGGACTAGGTCACCGGCCTCCCTTACATCAATAGTCAGGGATTTTGGCTTTGTCATTGGCAGAAAACACAGCACGCCTTTTCTTAGCTTCAACTTGGTGGCACATGATTTGCAGAAGAGATTGAAGGCTTTCTTCCCTAGGGCTTCTGAGAGTTTGATAATGAGCCCTTCACATTTGCCAGTCACGATAAATAGAGCCAACTCGTATAGCCACAATTTGTTTCTAGCAGATCAGGGAAATTGTGTAGGGTAGCATGACATGGAGCTCAGGAAAAGGAACTTTAAGAGCAGAAATACTTGAGTTTATCCAAAGGAATAATTTTTATTTAAGGAAATTATTTTATTATTATTCCATCCTTTATATTGCAGACATATAGTGTACCTGATCTTGAGTGGTTACTACTTAGAACTATATAATGCTCCTTTCACCCGAAGCCAAAATTCTCATGATTAAAAACATTAGATTTTCGAGTCAGACGTCTAATCCAATATATGGAACTGGCCACACATCCTTAACTATGCGTACCTTTATAAGCATCTCACTATAATTTTTCTAGTTAAAATTCTTTTGGGGGAAATTGAAATCTAATGTCAAAGAGAATACTTGTCAACTGAGACTCTCTCTAGCTTAATGAAATAGAAGTTGTTTTTGTTGCTACGTCCTATTCAGTTGCCTGTAACTCATAGTGATCCAATGCATAATAGCCCTGACGCCTGACTTATGCTGATGTTCTAACATTGTGCTGTTTTTAAATTTTTTTAAGAAAGTATTTTTATATTTATTTGCTTACACAGTTTGAATGCATAGTGTTTCACACTTCATTCACATTTTATTTTATACAGTCATTCTCATGCATTATGTTTTATAAAATTAGTCACCATTGGGCCTTGTGCTGTTTTTGTTATAGTTAGAGTATTGTAATGTTAGAATATTTTTTTTTAAAAAAAGTATAAACTGGCAAGCATTTTGTGAGAAGGAGAAATATCTGACTTTATTATTGGTGTAATGTTTAGCCCCATGACCATATGGGAAGTATTCCCTGTGGTTAACTGCCATTAAGTCATTCTCCCATTCGTGGCATCCCCATTCACAACAGAACGAAGGACTTCCCAGTCAGCTGTCATCCTGGTGATTGGCTGTATTATGATTCACAGGACTTTCATTGGCTGATTTGTAGATGTAGGTCACCTGGTTTGTCTCAGACAGGAAGTTGTGCTGAGACCTGTTGGACATGCCAGCAACAGTAAGTCTTCACTAACAGTTAGATAGATGGGAGTTCTGTGCTGACCCCTTGAAGGTACACTGTTTGAATCCACCAGCTACTCTGTGGGAGAAATATGGCTAATATCCTACAATGTGATTTAATGCCCTGGTAAACCTGTCAGAAGATCAGCCATGAGTCATTTCCAACTCAATGGTACTAACAGCAAACAACCACCCACAGGTAGTGGCTGAAATGCATTGCCTGCGAGTAGGACTCGGGTCTCTCTCACGGAAGGTGAGAATTCGGCCTCTGAATGAACAATGTCCACATAAAAGTGCTTACAATATGTGATTTTGTACAAGCCTTACAACAAACAAACCTCTAGAGGAATATTATAAGATTCCCAATTTTATTCTAATTTTCTAGATGAGGAAGTTGAAGAGTACTCCATAATCAATTAGCAGATTTTTATTGTTCTTAATATTATTCAATATGCTATTATTACCACTCGAACTTCTGGACTGGTCGTTTAGCCCACCAAGTCGGGCTGCAGTATTTTCAGAGTCTCTTCAGTCTTCATTCTGTGGTATCCTTAGTATAGGAACAGTTATGCATTCACTACAACCAGTCAACCTAGTGTGCCTTTATCTATGGCCAGCTATAAGGTGTCATTCTGTCTGTCTTTTGCCATGTCAAAGTCAAGATGGAAAGTAGTGGTAGATGCACGGTAAGAGAGAACACTTCTATTCTTCTTAATACTTAGAATAGTCTTTATTTTTAAGAAAATCTTTGTTGCTCTCACAGGTACAGCAACATCATCGCCTCATTCTGAACTGGAAAGTACAGGCGCGATTCTTGATGACAAGGAAGACGCTTATTTTACAGAAATTCGAAATTTTATAGGAAATAGCAACCATAGCAGCCAGTCACCCAGGAATGTGGAAGAGAGGTAAGACTTTCTTTTTTAAAAAAAAACAAACAAAAACCACAACCCCAACAACAACTTTATTTAAAGAATTGAAATGTCAACTCTCCTCTCTTTCATTAAATTGGGCTGTCTGAAATAAAAGTTCTCCGAGACATTCATTCTGATCACTTTTGAAATGCTAGTGTTACTGCCACTATCAATGAACTTATTGGTAAATAGCAATAATGCTAATTTAGTTCTTTTTTAATCACTTTAGAGATGTTAATTCATTTACATTCTAATAATATCTGTGAGAGAGAGACAATTTTCCAGTGTTATAACTGAAGGAATGGTGATATTCAAGGTTAATACCTTGTCAAAGATCATCACATCAGTCATAAGTTGAGTTTTGAAGCTTGACTGACTTTTGGCCTCTATGTTTGCCATCAAACTCTCCTATCTCTCTTGGCTGTTAAGTCAAACATTTTGTCAAAACTTCCCAAGTAAAAGAGATGGTACCTCAATAATTCAGTTAGATTGTTGTAAAGGACTAGTCAGTAGTCTTTACTTTCATGTTTCATAGATTATTTTTATTATAGATAACAAATGACATTGTGTGTACACATATAAAATAGCTAGTTTAAGGACTTGCGTGTCATCGAACTGTTTTTTACTTAAAAACTTCCAAGTCTCTCATTAAGCTTATATCATAAGCTTTCAAATGTCTGGTCACTTTGTTCTAGGGAAATTATTTTAATAGATGTAGGGTAGTCCTTTTTTCCCTCCAGTGTACTGGCTTGCTCTTGTTATCATCAGCATTAAACATTCATGGTTGATTCTTTAAAACAAATAAAGAAAAGCTTTTAATACAGTTGATGATGATGATAATAATAATAATAATAATAAATGTTGTTGTTGCTGTTGTTATGTGCTGTCAAGTTGCTTGCGACCCTATGTATAGCAACTCTGAACCCTGCCCTGTCCTGAGCCAGTCTTACTAATTCCAACACACCAACCCCCATCACCCCAGTCACTGTATCCATCCTTCTCATCCGGGATCTTCCTGTCCTATGTTGTTCCTCCACCCTTCCAAGCATCATGTCCTTTTCCAAGGATCAGTCCCTCCTGGCCACATTCCCAAAGTATATTAAGACAGAGCTTCAAAATCCTAGCCTCTAAGGAAAGACTTGGTTTCACTCTGCCCAAGACAGACCTCTTGGTTTTCTTGGCAGTGCATGGTATGTTCAAGACTCTTCTTCAGCACCACAACTTGAAGGCATCTATTCTTCTGTCGTCCTTAGTCATTGTCAAGCTCTCTGATGCAAGTAACTGTGATGATGATGATATTTATCTAGTCCTTGTATTTTATCATGTTAATGAACTGTTATTTCATTAAAATATTCTAGATTTTCCTGTAAGATAATGTTAAATACCCGTAACTGACAACTAGACTTTTCTGACTATTAAGTTATGATGTTCCATTGTAAATTTTAATGCAATGTGTGGACTTTAAATAGTGAAAGTTCCATACCTTTTCATACACAGGCCACAAGTGTTACTCAGTTAATGTCATCTAGTTTTGATGGTACTACAAAGTCAAAGTTAATCATTTTAAGTAGCTTGCTTATTATGACAAATGTCAAATAAACATTGTTTCCCAAGATAACATACAAAACATGACTGCTTCAGTTCCTCAACTTGTATGAAAGTGTACCTAGGGGAGAAAGCCAGAATGATCTCATATTGCATGACCTTTTACGGCCTGTTTGAAGTCTGAAAAAAGTTATACTTTTGTGCAATTCGGTGTTTATTTTCTTCTCCTTGCCTGTGAGTGTGTATGTATGGGGAGGAGATTGAGGTACTGGAAAAGTGGCAAGGGATCAGAAGAGCAGAATAGTAGTACAGGCAATAGGGAAGATGTAGACAATCTTGCATTTTGGTTATGACGTTTATGTGGTACAAAAAGAAAAAAAAACACCTCATAAACCTGAAACACCATCTAGGTCTGAGATTCTTCTGATTCAGATCTTCTATTCCTTGACTGGTATTTGTGTGACCATGTCATTGCAATATTTGACTTCAACATGTCCAAACAGCACAGAAGGAAGAAGGTTAAATCCTGTAACTTTCCCCCCTCGACTCCTATCAGGCTACTTTTGGTGGATATTTTATCCCCCAATAATTGCCACGTTTGAAAGCATAATTAACAATTATGTTTTCTTAAGCGTGTTGGCTTTTGTTACTTTTGGGTTTCGTCCATGCACTCTTGTTCTTTTACTTTTTCTTTCATTTCCGTCCGTCCCCCCCCCATAACAATTTTAGTCCATTCAAGCTAGTGAGCTGGAAGGATATCTGGAAACTAATAATTTATGTCTGTGCAAGCATGTTTTCATCATTTTTTGATAAAGGAACCTAAGTGATTGGTTCTACAAAAGGCTTCACAATAATGGAACATTTTCTGGTCAAATACATTTTTGCTATGTGCATCTGTCACCTCCATGATGATTTTGTTTGTTTGTTTACCCTAGAAAATCTAAGCATTACATCACTCTATTGAAACAGATGTGGGAAAGTCATGTAGATACATTGCTGATGTTTATTCTTTCTTGATAAAAAAAACTGTTTACATTAAATGTGAAAACTATACTTGGCTATAACAATTACTGAACAGTCTCACAGAGCTTTTTGAACTAGCAAATTAATAAAAGTACAAGGCAAAAGAGATTATTAATGGACCTGGAATCAGCATACATGGATATTTGAGATAGCTCTGTCCCTAGCCAGACAAATACCTAAGCTTCCATCTCCTGGCTTAGCCCATAAGGAGCGCATTGCTAACACCAAGTCTGCACCTCGTTTGCTTTGTATCCACACGCAGCTCCTTGGGAGAAACACTGGCAATCTCCCCCTTTACCTTCTACAACCTCTGAGACCCACTGAAGGGTCAGCTAGAAGTTGTTTCCAAGTGTGTAGCATAAAAGTTGAGTGTTTTCCTTCTGTAAGAGACATATAAAACGAGATTAGGAGAAAGCTTCCTCAAGTTCAAAGTATTCATCATTGTTTTGTAACTTCAACACAGCTTAATGAGATTAGGAGAAAGCTTCCTCAAGTTCAAAGTATTCATCATTGTTTTGTAACTTCAACACAACTTCTAAATCCCACAGTGAAAGTGAAAAACCATTTACAGATATTTGTGTGTTTCTTTGAAAAGATTATCATAGTTTCATAAATGAAATAATAAAGTGAATAATAAATAAATCAATAAAATAATAGTAAATTTCCTAAAATGAAATGCCTAAATAATGAAACTTTTTTGTCATTCATATATTACAATCCTGGGAACCACATGCTAGAACATTACAAAGTACTTTTAAAATATAATATTCTTCTTTTTGAAGGAAGAAGTGAGGGCAGGGGTCTGTGCTTGGGGATGGAGAAAATCATGGAGTTACAGAGTTTGGTAGGTGGAGGAAGAAAGCAGAAAAAAAACCCCAACCAGTGTACACGAGTGAAACATAATTAAAAAGAAAATATTCTTCTTTTAAATGATTGCATTAGATTTGCTTGCGAAATTTCATAAGAAAGGGACAATTAAGCTGCTAGATCTTAACCCAACTTAGAGTTCTCTTGGCAAATAGGGACCTTTTTCATGTTCAGACTAACAAGGCTAACTTGAAAATAGCCCAGACAAATGAGCTCTTAATCACTTCCAAGTTTGAGGAGAGTGCCTGTGTAGACCATAATACACATGTCACACAGGAATATCAAATGCTACTCCTGTCCTTGGCAACTTCCTTAAACATTTTCTTTGAAGTCTTAAATTCACTATAGGTTGCATATTGCAACTATTGCCAGTGCTACTTGGGAATATGAGAAATCTATTACTTTAAATGGTGGGGTACTTATATGGGAATTACGTACATTATGTAGAGAAAACATTTGTGAGCTTCTTACATCCTATATAACAATGTCATTTATCAGGCAAGGGTCTGATAAGCAGTGAGAGACTGAGAATGTTTTTCCAGTTGAGCCAAGGTTTCCATTTATAATCAGAATAATCATCCAATTACTTTTTCCATCATTTTCTCATTTGGGAGATTACATTATTTTCCCATGTTTGCCATCAAGCACAAATAAAAATTTACCACATAATTGTTGAAATTCAAAAAATATTGTTGGAAAGATGTGATCATAAAGTTAAAAAGGTACAGTTAAAAACTAAGCCGATAAATGAACCCTTTTTTTTTTCTTTCTTTCTTATGCTTCTGAAAGGATGAATGGCAGTCATTTTAAGGACGAGAAGGCTTTGGTAGTGAGCCAAAATTCTGATTTATTGGATGAGGAAGAAATAGAAGATGAAGTATTGTTAGATGAGGACGAGGAAGACAATGATATTACTGGAAAAACAGGAAAAGAACCATTGACAAGTAATATACATGAAGAAAATCCTGAAGATGACTATGAAGAAGCCAGTGCTCTGGAGATCAGTTGCAAGGCTTCACCAGGGAGGTAAGTGCCTGAGACTTGGGTGGCGGAGGGATGGCCAACCTGCATTCCTACCTGATTCCTTCTGCTCTGCCTTTCTTTCCACTAGACTTAAGATTTCAAGTGAGGAACATTTTTTCTGAGTAATACATTTATTTGACTAATCTTGAAAATCTAGTGTTGAGGGAGGCAGAAACCATACATAATTTGTACTCTAATTTTAGATAAAAATACCAGAGTGTTCCACTTAGTCCACAAGCAAACAAACACATCACTCTTTGTGAGATGAATTAACTTAAGTAAAGAAGGATATGTGGATACAAAATTATTTTCTTTTTGACACAACCAATGTGCATTTTCATGATTGTGAAAATGGTGGAGATGTCAAGGGGGCACAGGATAGCTTGAGGCTCCAATCTGTTCTCACGGTTGATAGGAGTCGTAGCCAACTTGATGGCATCTAACAACACAGACACATTTCAGACTAGTTTCTTTTTAGATATTGTTGTTGTTGTTAAGTGCTGTCGAGTCGTAAGGCAACTCATAACGACTTGAAAGTCCTCAACACTTCCGTGACTTTCATCCTTTCATGAAAGGATGAAACAGGCAAGCTGTTTATGGAAGTGGGTGCCACTCCTGCTTCCAAGCTTATTTTAATCGGGGAGCTCCACCAAACACTGTCCACCATGGATAACCATGATTGCATTTGACACATCAGTGTCGCAGTGTTCAGCTTCACAGCAACCATGAGTTACCTCTGTACAGCAAGTGGACAGACCAGAGCTATACCACCTAGAAGAATGTTTGAACAAAAACAATGGAAAACAGGCCTGAGGGCCGCAGATTAGAAGTCACCACCTTTGGCTTGGGAGCATCATTTTCTGTCCACTAGGCCAACTGATAGCTCTCTCTATGTTGGTGTTATTGTTGTTAAGTGCCATCAAGTCGTAGGCAACTCATAGTGACCCTATGAATGAAAGTCCTCAACAGTTGTGTGACTTTCATCCTCTCTCCACGTTCATAGGGTTTCCGGAAGCAAGCTATTATGGAAATAAGATAGATATGGACTTTTCATATATTTCCCCTCCATTCTATATTCTTCCTTTTTTTGGTAATATCCTGTAATGTGCAAAGTTTTCTTTTAATGAAGCCCAATGCACCACTATTTTTTCTTTTTTTCTTTTGTGTCACAGCTAAGACTTCTTTGCCAAATCCAAGATCGTGAAGATTTCCCCAGACCCTGCCTATAAACATTAAAAACAAGGGAAATCTGTTGCTGCAGAGTCAGTTTCAAGCTGTATTAACTCTGTAGGACAGAGAAGAACTGTCCTGTAGGATTTCTGAGACTTCGAGTCTCTCTAGACACAAACCGCCCTGTCTTTCTCTTATTGAGATACTAGCAGTGCTGTACTGAAGCTCTTCCCAGAAACAGAAATTTGGAAATCACCTAATTAATTTGAAAATCTGGGGTGATTATCACTGTCAGTAGAATGGTGGGAATTGCTGTGTTTCACTTCATTTGATATGCACAGTATCGATATAGCTGATAACTTTTTTGAATGGAAAAATAATTAAATTGATAAGCATAGTATACATTCATGTTACAGGAAGAACTGACAGGATAGTCTTCTAATTGGCTTTGTTTTCCATGGAAATTATCAATATTTGAACTCCGTCTCTACTGCCTGGCTGATTTAGCATGTCATGGATCTTTTTATTTCAAATATACTGTTCACCGTAGCAATTAGAAACGTTAGAGAAACATATTTTTGTTTTATGTGGGGTGTTTTTATATTTTTTTAATTATTAATTTTAATGATAATTACAGAGATTTTGGATTTCCATTGTTGCACTTATCTGCCTGCCCACCCCTCACCCCCAGTTTGTTCTTCTCTTTGAAAAGTAAAAGGAAAATTCTTTCATTGTTATACATCCCTCCCCCCAAGTCCACTCCACTGTGCAGCCTTTGTTCTGCACTCCTGTCATGACAATAATACCTAATCATATATCCCTTTTAAACAGTAGAGAAACATATTTGTAAGGTATTTACATGTTAACAGAGACAATAACCGATACATATGTACACTGCAAATACAATATAATGGTTTTGACAGCTGTGTAGAGTCAAATGAAAAGTGATTTAATTGGATAACAAACTGGAAAAGAAATCTCTATGCTTTCCCATTGGTTCATTTTAGATATAAAGAGGAAGAATATAAAACTGGACTTTCAGCCCTAGATCATATAAGGCATTTCACAGATAGCCTCAAAATGAGGAAAATGGAAGATAATCAATACACTGAAGCTGAACTATCTTCTTTTAGTGCATCCTGTGTGCCGGAGGGACTTAAACAGCCGTTACAAAGAAAGTCCAAATCACAGGTACATCTTTTCCTGCAGGGTACCATCATGGTAACATTGTTTGTGCATGAAAAATGTGTGTTTCATTTGTTTAACCAAAGGGAGTTATCCTATCTCTGCAGTGTTCTAGAATCTGTACAGATTAGGATGCTCCAACCCAAATGTTCATGTCTGTATCTTATGTTCAAACATTCGCTAATCCTGCAATTACCATGGCTGCATTTCTGCATTGAAACTTCTGTACCAGACTCTTCTACATGAATTTTCCTTTACTGGCTTTTCTCTTATCCTATATTTGCAGTCTATCATTTTTGAGTTGTATCTGTTTTTATGTTGCCTCAGAATTAATCTCTAATTACTTTGTCTCTATAAATTTTAGGGCTTTGTAGAGTAAATGATGAACTCCATTTTTTTGTCCATTTTTCATATTAAGGGTATTTTTATATTTTGTTAATTAGCACGTCATCTAATTATAGAACTTATGAGTAAGGGACTGAAGTTCAGTGATTAAATGTGTTGCTTAAAGTTCACAGCAATTTAGGGACAGATAAGGGAAAAAATATCAAATTTTTCTTAAATGAGTGGTGCCCAATTATGCTTTACAGAATTCTCAAATAGGTCTTTAGTTATCAATTAAAATACCTTAGTTCTTTCATTATACCATGAATATATTAATACTTTGTATTGGAGATACACACTTAACCAAATAGTACTCATTCACAGTAATTTTCAAAAGCAGCTTTCTAACGTAACACAGGGTTTTATTCTGACAAGTCTCATCATTTATATTCTAATTATATATTTATTAATTGTAATAGCCTTTTAATACCAATTTCTTTATACAGCTGATATTTGAACATGAGAATGATAGCATCAGCTAATCATGCACTGCAACATTGTATGTATATATAGAAATAGAAATAAAATGTACTTCTTTCCCAAAATGGTCATAACTTGAATACCCACTGAGTTACACTACATATAGCACCGTAGTGTTGGCCATTTGATTAGACCAAAAATTGCTCCTTTTTAGAGGTGACATCACTAGTCAGATAATTTCTACCTTTAAATTAGGAAATAATTTCTTTTTAGATTGTGATGTTTAAAGCTGGTCTTAGCAACAAATGTAGCACTATCTCAACTAACGGGGGGGGGAAACATTATGCCTATGAAATGGTACCAATTCTTAAAAGCTAGTAGAATGTTTTAAATTGTCATGTATGGGAATCGGGAAAAGAAATATTCTTTTTGACATTTCAATTAAAACAGCCAGCTTCAACTCTAAAATGCCTTAGTTTTGTGAACCCAATAGCATCGCTTGACAACTATGTCACTTAATGACAGTAAGTACAGTCCTTCATTGTAGTGTGGATTCGGTGGAGAATTGGTAATATTCCTCCTTAATCAGTTAATTATTGGAGTTTTGAAAATTAATTTTTCTGTTTTTAATGTTGAATTGCCTACCCTAGATATTATTTCCCCTGAAAAACATCATAAAAGATGGCTAATTTTTTTTTTTAATAAGCCACTTGAAAACATTCTTGATTTTCCAGCTTCCCTTCCTAGAAGGTGTAGTCTGTAGGAAGTTGCACCACTAATTTAAAGGTGGTATCTCTCTGGGGGTTTGAATCCACCAGATGCTCTGCAGGAAAAGGAGAAATAATTTCCTCCTGTGCAATTTCCAGCATCTGAAACCTCCCTGGAAAGTCAGCTCTGAGTTGATTCTGATTTGACAATGTTGAGTTGAGATGATGATTAGAGACACAGAAGGAGTCAGGTTGTTTTGTGATCTTAAAGGTTTCTTTTCATTGTTCATCCAAAAATACTTCTTTTATTTGTAAGATACAATGTCTTAAAATAAGGGAAATGATCAGATATAATAAAAAATAAGTCTCAGGATCTAGAGATGATTGACATGACCTTTTAGTAACATGTATTGCAAGGCTAGTTCCTATCTTTCTTGGTATTTGATCAGTTCATATATGTCAGCTTGAAAATGGTCGGGCATTTTTGCAAATTGACTTTAGTTCATAGTATTCTCCAACTATCCATTCATTAATTCACTCATTTATATATTCTTTCAGCAGTTACTGACTGCAGGTTATGTAGTGAACACTAATCCTCGTTAATGGAAAGGTTCATTCCTTTCCGTTATCAAAAGAATACGATTCTATCTTTGCCATTTTCAGAATCTGAACAGGTTCGAATGCTTTTCTGAAAGAATTCATATCTTTACATTGTGCTTTTTGTCGTGATTGATTTTAAAATACTTGACTGAAAGCAGTAATAATGTGACTGTGTTTTACAGAGAAGCCTCTCTGGCAAGCCCTACCCTACAACAATTAATTTTGTGTTTCCTGGAAATATTATGGCAGGTACATTGTAAGCACTTTATGTAAATTAGTGGTTGTGTTTCCTGCACAACCTTAAGAGGTAATTATGTTATGAAAGTAAAACCTGCAGAATTGAGAATCTTTGTAAGGCAGAAACCTGTCAAAGAAGGAAAACTCAAATATTTTTGATTCAAAATAAAGTAGGGAATGGCCTAGTTGTAAGAAGCTCTCCAGCCAAATTAAAGGCACATGGTTCAAATCTACTAGCTGCTCTGCAGGAGAGAGCAGGGTGGGGTCTCTCTTCCTGTGCAAGTTATGGCCTCTGAAAACCCACTGGACAGTCAGCTGTTAGTTGATTCTGACTCTATGGTGCATAATGACAACATTAAATATGGCGGGTCAAATGAGGAAAAATGTGAGAGAAAAAGCAGTCTCATGAAGTTTCAGTTCTTACAAGTTTCTCTGTACTATTTTCTTTATAGATGAGGAAAGAGAAGCTTACCAAATTAAGTAACTTTTGTTGTTGTTAAGTGCCGTCGTTGGAGATGACTTATAGCGACCCTGTCAACAAAAGACCCGAACACGTGTACGACTTTCATCGTTTCTTCATAGGGTTTCCGAAGGCAGGCTCTTTCAGAAGTGGATATCGCTTCTGCTTCCAAGCTTGTTTTAACTGGGGAGCTCCACCAAACACTGTCCACCATGGGTAACTGTTATCGCATTTGACACATCAGTGTCACAGTGTTCAGCTTCACAGCAACCACGAGTTATCTCTGTACAGCAAGCGGACAGACCAGGGCTGTACTACCTAGAAGAATGTTTGAACAAAACCAAAACCAGGCCTGAGGGCCGTAGATTAAAATCACCCACCTTTGGCGTGGGAGCATCGCTTTCTGTCCACGAGGCCAACTGAGCTCTCTCTATGATGATGTTGTTAAGTGTCGTCGAGTCATAGATGACTCAAAGTAACTTTTATCTTTCCAAATACCCAAATTGAATTTGAGGCTTATTTCAGGGTATTCTTGTTTCTAAACCCTAAAGGTGGCTAACTCATTAGAATAATGGTTTAAATAATTGTAGTGTTCATTTAGCCCGTCATCTATTTTATAGTGGCCAAGTGGTAAGGAGTTGCACTTCTAACCTAAAGGCAAGCGGTTCAAATCCGCCAGCTGGTCCCCTGGAGAAAGATGAACAATAAATAATCTTGTCCTGAGTGATTTATATTTAAAGCCTCTGAAAACCTGCTAGAGGGCCAGCTATGAGTCGGTTCAAACTCGATAACACAGAACAATAATAGCTATACTCTAAAAGAACACAGGCTGTGTGCTGTTTGTCTAGACTCCCTAGAACCTAATACAGAGACTGTCAAAGAGTAGACGCTCAAGAAGTATTTGTAATGGGTGCTGAGACTTTAGTGCTGTTCCAGAAGGCAGACTGATTCCATGAAAATCCGATGTGTATGTTTAGAACAGTGACCCCGTAAATCACAGTCAGTCTGCAAGGAAGGGCAGATTTTCTCACTGAATGCCATGATTACCGAAGAAACCACAGCCTGGCCACATGTCTCAGCACGACTCCCAGAGATGAAATTCTGCCTAACAACAGAGGCATTTTGTCTTTGTTTACAGACAGTGGAATGTCTTTGGCAGGACTTTAATGATTCCACTTCAGCAGCATTTTGACAAGCAAGTTTAGCCGTGGATGAGACCAACAATGGCAAATCAACAGTGAAAAGTTCACTCACAAGTCAAGACCAAACAGTTCGTTTTGATATTTTACTTGGCAGTAAACAGGGGATTCTCTGATCAGTTATTTCAAATTTGACATGATAATAGGGAAGAAAGGGCACGGCCTTGGAGAACACCTCTGACAGACACCTTCCACTCAGCAGATTCTGGAGCACAAGTTGAGTGGAACGTTGTTGAGCCTTGAATTTTCGTTCTGGGTAGATCTGCTGCTGTTCTCCCCAACTTTTGAAGGTCTTTGGTTTGATCATCAAATATTTCATGCATGGAGAGAAATTGCAGAAAGGACAGTGGCTTCAAAATTGACAGAAATATCTTTTAATTATATCTCCTTTATGATCATCTTGAGTGGCTTTGGACAAGTCATTTCTCCTTCAGTGCTCTCAATTATAAGATGCAGAAATCAGATCATGTACTTGGCCAGAACACAGTCTAACAGTGCAGTCTCCGTGCTGTTCACATTTATGGTTTCCCTTGTCAACACACAGTGAACTTATAGACTTTATAAGAACTTATGAAACGTATATAGACTGAAACTATGTTGTGGATGGATGTCTGTATGTGGGGTGGGCAGTGGAATGAGTAATTTTTCTCAGCAGAGGCACTACTGACACTTTGGGTGAAACAAATTATTGTTTTCTTTATAACATCTTTTTGTGGGTGCCCCGATATTAGAGGCCACCAGTAACTCCATGCTATTATAACAATAGCATAAAAAGTTAAGCCTCACCCTTTTCCAAGCACATCCATGAGAGATGCTTCTACTTAGGGGGCCCAGCCATTGCTCTTATTCACCAGTTTGTAGTCTCTGAATGGAAAGTGATCTTTTTCCAAATGCCATTTACCAAGTATCTCCTTTTTACCCCAGGCATTTGCTATGATGTTGTCATTGTCCGACAAGGAGTCCCTCCATTCTACATCCCACAGTTCTTCCAACGTGTGGCACAATATGGCAAGGGCGGCAGCCGAATCCAGCGCCATCCAGTCCATCAGCCACGTATGACGTCACCAAGGTTGACCAGCGGGGGACCAAGTCCACCAGTAGCATGGCTCTTTCACTTAGGACTATTTAAAAGACTGCTGAGCAGAATGCCTTACAAACCTGAAGGGTCACTCATGGAAAGTCTGGTGACCTTAAACTGAATGAGGAAAAAAAAAAAGAACAGAAAGAAAAAAGAAACTATTTATTCTCGATATCTTGTTTTGCACAGCAAAGGCAGCTGCTGACTTCTGGAAGATCAATGCGACTTAAAGTGATTTAATGAAAATGAGAAACAAAAACCCCAAACTTGCTGGGCAGAAGGCTTCTTCCATTTCACCCCATCCGAGCGTGTGGGTGGGAGAGGGGGTAGTTGAAATGTCGACATTGAAACGGATGAACGCTCCATAGAAAGAAAATCTTTTTTTTTTTTTTAAACAAGATCGCCTGACACATGATTGGGAACAGTTGCTTTTAATTACAGATATGAAATTACAGATCTAATTGTTTTTTCCTTTGTTCACATTTTAAGTAATTTAGCCCTTTTAAGATGGAAGTAATTGAATGAAATGCACACTTGATTATTCTTGAAGCTGATAACAGGGAGTTTCTTGTGCCCCCTCAACCTTTGCCTTCGTAAGTACATTGTTGATAAAAAAAAACAGGGGAAAAGGGTATGTGTATATTGTAAACTATGGATGTTCAATGCTCAAAGAGGTTAAGTCAGTGAAGTAACTTGTTCACCACCAGGACCACTGTACCACTAATTCAAATGTTTGCCAAATCCTTGTAATAACATCTTAATTTTAGACAATCATGTCACTGTTTTTTAATGTTTAATTTTTGTGTGTGTGTTGTGTGTATCATGTATTTATTTGTTGGCAAACCATGGTTTGTTGGTTAAAATAGCACTGTTGTAGCAGCCACTACTTCCTGATGTCGGAGGCACACCCCTTTCTGAGTTTTAAGGACCAAGGTGACTTGACCTGTGTATGGGAGTGTCACACGGCGTTTGGCTTTTCTTAACATTCCTTTTCTTTTTTTGTTTTGTTTTCCTTCTTAATGAACTAAATAACGAATAGATGCAACTTAGTTTTTTTGTAATACTGAAATTGATTCAATTGTATAAATGATTATAATTTCTTCATGAAAGCATGATCCTTCTGATTAAAAAGTGTACCCATATTTTATGCTGGTTGTCTGCAAGCTTGTGCGATGTTTTGTTCACGTTATCCTATTTGTAAGATGAAGTGTTCCAGACCTTATGTTAAAAGAGAGACGTAAATAACAGACTGTATTCAGTTATTTCTTCCCCCTTTATCGAGGACCCAGATTTGTTTTCTTTTGTTTGTAATCTCATTTTGAAATAATCGGCAAATTGAGGTACTTTCTTCAAATGCTTTGTACAATATAAACTGTTATGCCTTTCAGTGCATTACTATGGGAGGAGCAACTAAAAAATAAAGACTTACAAAAATGACTTTTCTCACTGCGGTATGTTCCCCACACAAGCAAGTTTTGTTTCCCTTTGGGTACAAGGATTTAAAGATAGGATGACGGTGACCTTGATGCGTTCACAGATACATGTAGAATCAAGAGCATATTTGTATTGTTTTTAGATGACATGTATGATCATTTTGGACAGTTGGAAGTTGAATCTCTTTTATTCATATTTCTGAATATTTTCCAGGTAGCAACCCTGCTGTCCTGGTACCTTTCCAGGTTTACAGCACCCATTGAGTAAGGACAGAGAAATGGACTGTGTGTGTGTATGTGTGTGTGTGGGGGGTGTTTGTGTGAGAGAGCGTGTGATTTATTGTGGTAAGTATATATAACAAAACAACTGTTATTTTAACACTTTTTACATGAACAATTCCATAACCTTAGTCATCACTTTCATCACGATGTATAACCATCACCAGTACCTGTTTCCAAATTTTTCTGTCACCATTAACAGAAGCTGTGAATGCCACTTACACTCTTAACCCATCCCATGTAATAGGCTTTGGTATCCATTTATTTGCCTTTTTAAAAATATTTCACAACTAAATAATCCCATGCCTCTGGAAACTCTACAAACTTTGATAAATGTCAATAGTTGTAGAGGGGTATCAGGTCTTTTGTTATAGGGTCACTATGAGTTGTGCTCGACTCGAAGGCAATCAACAAAAACAGCAATGTACATATGTGATACTATAAATATGTGTATATATGATATATGTGTATATATGATATATGTATATATTATAAATATAACTTGTGTACATTATATTGTATATTTCTAATAACTCAAAAAGTTAATTTCAAGTCCTGTCCTGGAATACAACGTTTTGAGTGATGGGATATTACCCATGCACATACAAAGAAGGCCTGTTAATGTGATTATTATGCAAGTATATACTCCTACGTTAGAGCCAAAGAGGAAGAAATTGGAAATGTTTACCAAATCTTGCTGTCTGAAATTGACTTAACATGCAGTCAAGATGCATTAAAGATAATCGGTGACTGGAATGCAAAAGTTGAAAACAACGAAGAAGAAAATGAGGCTCAAAATAGAGTGACTGAATTTTATATTTTCTGTGATTTATTCATTGCAAATACCTTTTTTTAAGAAACAAAATGACAAGTTTATACATGGATCTCATCTGACGGGCTGCATAGAGATCAGACTGACTACATATGAAGGAAGAATCATTGGAGAAGCTCAATATTAGCAGTCAAAACTAGGCCAGGGGCAGAGTCTGGGTCAGACCATCAGTTACTCATGTCCAAGTTCAAATTGAGGCTGAAGAAAATACAAGTGCAAGAGAACCAAAAAAAAAATGATCTTGAATCTATTTCATCTGAATTTCAAAATCATTTTAAGAATGTTTGTAACATTGAACACACACACACATATATATAATGATCTTATGAAGAGAGCAAAAGGTCATTATAGAGACCGAGGAGAAAGAAAATAAAATGGATGCTAGAAGAGTCTATGAAAATTGCACTAGCGTGTCAAGATGCTAGTAAGAAAACATGCCAAAGAAAAAGAGCTGAACAGAAGATTTCAAAGGGCAACACAAGAAGACAAAACAAAGTATTTTAATGGAATGTGCAGAGAGCTGGGAGAATAAAAATGGAAGAACTCGTTCTGCTGAGAGAATGGAAAAGCAAATTTAAAGCCTTGAGTTGCAACATTGAAAGATGCTATCGGCAGTAATATTGTACGACCAAGGAAGCAGCAAAAGAAGATGGAAGGAAGGGACTTCTCTGTCTTTGGTTCCAGTAAGAAAATATGCTGAGGCATTCTCTGCTTGGTCCTTTGCTGGACCTAACGTGTGTGTGTGTGTACACATGTGTATATGGGGGTGATCATTTTTTTTTTTTTTTTTTGGTGAGCTTGAGATAAGTCTTTAAAGTGGCAGTGATGAGAGAAAAAAAGAACTGATACTGAAAAATTTCAGGAAGTACCATGTGAGAGGAGCCAATGATAATGAAAAAGGTCGTGAAAGCTGCATTGAAGGCATGGTGGGTGAGGGGAAGCCTTAGGAATCGATGGGATGCCAATCACTTGTTTCAATTAACAGATGCAGCTTTGGATGTGCTTACCAGCCATGCTGTGAAATTTAGAGGAAAACCCTGGCCTATAGATTGGAAGATTCCCATATTTGCTTATATTTCCAAGAAAGGTGGTCCAACAGAGTGTGGAAACTAATAATATCATTACTGATACATTCAAGCAAAATACTGTTGAAGATCCATCAAAAATGTCTAGAATAGATAGGGAGATACCAGAAGTTCAAGCAGGATTTAGAAGAGACCTTGGCCCCAGGGATATCATTACTGATGCCAGACGCAGCTAGCTGAAAATAAAGAATAGCAGAAGAATGTCTTTATTGACTATGCAAATGCATTTGACTGTGTTGATCGTAACATGTTACGGCTGACATTGAGAAGAATGGGAATCCAGAGCACTTAATTCTGCTCAAGCGAAACCTATACCTAGACAAGGACCCTGTTGTGTGAACAGAGCAAATGCAAAATACATGGTTTGAAAGAAAAGAGTGTGTCAGGGTTGTATTCTGTGGAAATTATTTGAGAATGAGGACTCTTAAGAAGAATGTGGTATCAAGGTCAGAGGAAGAGTCATTAATAACCTGTGTTATGCAGATGACACAACTTTGCTTGCTGAACGTGAGAAGGTCTTAAGCACTTGTTGCAGAAGATCAAAGACCACCCTTCAGCATCTCAATATCAAGAAACAAAAATTCTTATCACTGGGCAGAAAGGCAACATCAATGATGGGTAGAGAAAAGATAGTAACTGTCAACAACTTCAACTTATTTGGATCCACAATCATTCAACTTATTTGGATCCACAATCAACACCCTCGGTGCCAGCAGTCAGGAAACCAGGAGACGTATTACAAAGGAGAAAGTTTGAAGCTAGAGACGTCTCCACATTATTGAGGAGTCACGATGTCGGTTTGAAGACTTAGGCGCATCTGATTCAGACCATGATCTTTCTGATGGCTTGCTATGGATCTGAGAGCTAGACAAGGAATGAGGAAGACCGAGAAGACTTGATGGCTGTAAGCTGTGGTGTTGGAGAATACGGAAACATTCTATGGACTGCCAAAAGAATAAACAAATATAGCTTGGCAAAAATGCAGCTAGAGGGTTATTTGGAGGAAAAAATGATAAAGCTTTGCCTCACATACTCCCAGCATGTTGGTCGGATGGGTCATTCCTTGGAGAGGGACATGATCCTCAGGAAGAGAGGAAGACCCTCAACCAGGTGGACTGACACGGTGACTGCTGCAAAGGGCTCTTGTGTGTCAGGAAGTGTGAGGATGGCGCAGGACAAGACAGGGTTCAGATCTGTTATTCACAGGGTCACTATGGGTCTGATTCCACTCGACGGCACCTAACAACCACAATGCTATATTTTTATATCATTATATATTTTTATTATACATGCATATTTTTATAAAGGTAACACAGAAACAATGCCATTGTGCTGACCTTCTGACAGGATGCCCCTATTCAAATATGTCCCTGTGTTCAGGAAAGTAGTGAAGAAAGTATGATTAATTTTAACCCTAATCAAGGTTTTATGACCCACCCCAGGAGGTAAGGAAGGGAGTGCTGCGTGCCTGCCTGCCTTCCTGCCCCCCCCCCGCCCCCTTCCTGCACTGGTGCAAGAGAAGACTGCCCCTCCTTCTCCAGCCAAGCATCTGGTGGATTTGAACCATACACCTTCGGGATCGCAGCTCAGCTTCTTGCCACCAGAGCTCCTCCTAGTGAGTTTAGACTTTTCCATTTCATCATCCAACCTTACAATTTACAACTTGCAACTACAAAAATGATATTTAAACCATTTCTAAAATGGTTGACCGACTCATTATGAGAAAAAGCAAGTGTGGTTAAGAAGTGTACTTTGTTGTTCTCTCTTTGTTAAAGGAATTATTGATGGAAGAAATGTGGGAAGAGTGGGAGAAAAACTGACTAAAATATCCATGTCCTAAAATGTCCATATCCATGTATATAGGAAGCGGGATCCTTCACCCTTAAGAGACCTAAAATGAAAGCCAAACTCTGATTCACAGCAAACCGAGCAGTAATTCAGTTAAAGTCTTAAAAGATTTTAAATGTTCCTTCTTTTTTTAAAATTTTACTTCCTTTTCCCTAAAATGCTCATCTTTGATATGTGGCTTAGTGGTAAGGAGTTGCACTGACAACTCAAAAGTATGCAGTTCAAAACTACCTGCTGCTCTGTGGAAGAGAAATCTCATCCCATGGGATTTATTGCCTCTGAGGACCCACTGAAGAGTCAGGAGTCATTTCTTACTCAACAATATGCAACAACAACAACATTTTTAGAGCCAGATTAGGGCTATGGTGAGGACTGGTATTGAGGAGGTTCAGAGTCATAAGAACTCTTTAATGGGTAATGACAGTGCATCTGCAATGGGTTGAAGAAGGTCTAATGGATCTACAAGATTAGAAGCTTTGTGCAGTTTCAGTGAACCTAATACTTTGTATACAGTTCATGCAAGAAAGTCCACAGCGAGCAGAAGAGGAATAGTGAGAACAGGTTGACCAAGGGAGCTCTGAGCTCGGACAACCTAGTTAGGAAGGAGTCACATTGCCCACCCAAAGGCAAGCAGTTTAAATCTACCAGTTGCTCCTTGAGAGAAAGATTATCAGTCTCCTCCTGTGACATTTATAGTCTCTGAAAACTCACCCGCCGGAGATCACTCCAAATGACCCTCTGAGTTCACTGCAACTGAAATCAATAATTTATTAAGATGGTTACAGGCCTGTTGGCTTACAATATTATTTGTTAACTTAGATCATTGAAGCTCCCTATGTCATTGTTGTATTAGTATTTGCACCTCTTCATGGAAAGGTCATTTTCACTGATAGAAAGTAAGAGACATTGAATCTCTGTGGACACATTCCTACAAGTCCTTATTTAGAGAACAAATGACTACCTTT